TCTGAGCACAAAGGAGGGTTTGTTTTTATTTTTGGTGCCCAACTCACCTATTTCGAGCGGCAGATGGACAGAGCCTCAAATTTTGGTGCCTCCCTGCTGGGTCCAAATCCCCCTTCCCGAACAGGACCCCCTGGAGCAGGCGGTGAAGGCTCCAAACCCAACCTGCTAATTGCCTCTGCCTCCTTGAACCCCCACACCACTGCTGCTAATTGCTCTGCAACTGCCAAAGCTCCAATCTGGCTGTAAATCCCCCAAAACCCCCCATACCCCCATCCCTCCAGCCCTGCTGCATTTGTGGCACCAGCCAACCCACAGGGAAAGACACTGGAAATAATCCAAACAGCTTGGTTATCTATTTTTTATTATTTTATTTTTTAACCCCAGTTAGATGAAATAGCTGATTTTTTAAAAAATTTTCTTTTGCTCTATTTTGTTTTATTTTCCTCAATCTTCTTTTATTTTGCTCTATTTTATTTTATTTTACACTATATTCTTTTATTTTACTCTATTTTACTTTCTCCTTCTCTGTTTTATTTTGCTGTGTTTTATTTTACTCTATTTTTCTCCATTATGTTTTCTTTCCTTCCATTTTATTTCCTTTCCCTCTGCTGACCTGCTCTGGATCCCAGGCTGTGCTGGAGGAGAAGCAATGCTATTTTTCTTTCCCTTCCCCCTGCACTACCTGCCTCTTTCTCTTTTAAACTGCAAAAATTAAAACTGTGTCCTGCACCCCTCAGGGAGAAAGCAGTGCTTGTAGGTTGGCTTCACCCATCAGGTGATCAGGTGATCACCCCCAAGATCACCAACCAAAAGGTTTGAGAAGGAACCCTGTGCTTTAAAACCCACCAAAAAATCGACTAAAAAGGCCTTTTTATATCGCAGTGTTGTGTAAAGAATGTTTTTATTCTTTTAATATAAAATTCCACTAATTTTTCTACGGGACGAGGGATGGGTGGGGGATTTTTAAATGCCTTTTTTTTTTTTTCCTGTTTGTACTAAAAATTGTATTAAAATATTTTCAATCACGGGTATCTTTTTTGGAATTGTCTCTTTTATCCCCCCTGACTCCCCATCTGGACCAGTCACCCCCAGTGACTCCAGTGCTGGGTCAGAGCCACTTCTGCAGCGTGGCCCAGGCCTCTCCCCCACCCTGAACAGTTCTTGCCCTCCTTGCTGAATACCCTGACTCTTTTGCTACATATTTCTCTTTGAAGGAGGGGACATGGCCTTAAAAAAATCGCTTAATTTAAGGTTAAACCCCTTGGAATCGTCCCTCTACAGGACTCTTCCCAAGGCTGAAATGCCACCACCATTTTCCTCTTGTGGACCCTCAGAGCTGAACTCTGCCTATTTTCTCCCATTTTCCACGAATTCAGAGCTGACTTGTGCCTAATTGGGCACTTTGCTAATTTAAGCCGATTTTTGCTCCCCTGTGTAGGGGCACAACCTCCTGCCCTGTCACGCTGTGCATGTTTTTCCTCAGGGATAACACTTTCCATCCCGGTTTTTGCAGGGCTGCTGTCTCTCCTCAGCATCCTTGTCCTGCCTGCCAAACCTGCTCCACAAATAAATCCCATCCCCACCTCAAAAACCAGGATTTACCGTCCTTGGTGGTTCCTGTGACATCTCCAAGGGTCACCCGAGGGCTCCCTGGGGACAAGACACTGGGGCTGGAAGAACAAGGAGGAGGATCTGCCTCTGTTTACAGGCTAAAACAGAGTTTCCCCCCTTCCAACACACAACTTTTGGTCGATAAAACCAGTTTAATGAGCAATATTGAAGGTTTCTGGTCATACCTCTTGCCTTCAGCTAAGCCCCTGGGAAATAACAGTAATTTTAAAACAGGTAGAAATGAGGGAAAAGGGAAAATTACCCCCCCCCAAAGGTGCACACAGGGGCTTTTCTTACACCTCTGGGACGTGGCTGTTTGAATTTGGTCATGGTTTTATTAATTTTTGTTCACTGTCCTGCCCCAACAGCATCTACTGAGTTCTCTCCAACTCTCTGAGATGCTCCCAATCAAAGAAAATGTCTTAATTTCTTTTTTTTCCTCTCCAGCCATAGCAGGCTTTTAACACAGTGTGTGTGCTAAAGCATCAAGATTTGGGTCTTGTCAGCACCACTTTTGTAACACAGGGGTTTGACAAACCTTGTGGGATCCGAGATCTGGTTTTCACCTTCATTAACCAGGGAAAGGAGCTTAATTACTCAACTACTGGTGGCTCTGCCCCTCCACCTGCATCTTTTAACCCTCCAAAAGGTTTCAGTTGGGGATTGACAAGGCAGATTAGTTTGATGTATCATAAAGTGACTGTTTAGATGAGCAGAAAATACAGATAAACTTATTTTATAGGAGCTACAGTTTTGTATCACTTGGGGTCACACCAAAATTTCACAGGTCCTGGATGCCCAAGGACCATAAATTCCTGAGCTGTAAAGGTTGGAAAATGAAGGTTTGCAAACCTTTCTGGATGTTTTCAGCACTAATTCACTGCTAACATGCCAAAGCACTGGACCTGCCACATGCCAAAATCCTGGGAAAACAGGATAACTCAAAATAAAGCCCAAGCAATTGTACACATCAGGCACCTGGGGGGGTCTCTGCAGGGCTAAAGCTCAAGACTGGTGCATTGCCAAAATCCCCACAGCAAAGTGCTGTAGAGGATTATCCAAAGGGAAAAAAAAACACCAACACAAAAAACCACAAAAAAACCCCAAAACCAACCAACCAGAAAAACCCACCAACCCAACAAAAAAATCCACTCTAAAAACCCAAGTGCAAAATGTAAATATTCTCCAAAATGGAAATATGGCTGTTTCCCATGGGTCTGGGATGCTCTGAGGATGCTGCAACAGGGATCCTGAGCAAGAAAGAGAGAGCAAAAGGGATTTTTTTTCCCCCAAATAGTAGAGGATCAGAGAATAAACATGAAGTTTTTAGCTCCAAGTGCCAGGCAGTTGGGGTGCTGCTCCCCAGGGTCACAGGCACCTCCTCAGGGGTTGCCCAGACATGGTACCTGAGCCATCCCCATTGCAGTGGTTGTCACTTGTTTTCTGCTTAATGGAGGGAAAAAAAGAAGGGTCTTAATTATCAACCAAAAGAGTTAATTATCATCTTGGCATTCCAGATTCTTTCCTTGGCCCCTTCCACCCCTCTGACTCTCTTGCACCACTCCTGGGTTTTAGGCCACTCTGGTGTCTTGGGCCACTCACCCCTAGGCAGTAACTAAAAGGTCTAATTAAAAAACAGGGGATATTTGCCCAGGACACAGAGTCCCCCACCTGGGGAGAGTTCCCAGCGGGTTCCCAGAGGTTTCCCCACGTGACATTTTTGTGGACACTCCATTCCCAGCCTGTGAGTGCTCTAACTGCAGGGATGCCCATCATGTCTCAGAGCACAAAGCCCAGCTGACGTGCCTTGGACAGACCTTAAATAGCCCAGCACAGGCTCTGGCCAGCACTGCCTACCCCTGGCTCCAACAGATGGGTCAAGATCGAATCCCATTGGCACTTAAAAACCTTCCAGACCCACATCCCCATCCCAAATCATCGGCGACAAAGAGATTCTGTCATCATCCCACTGCAGCTACGATGAGCCTGTGGTGAAGGTAATGCTCCCCCTGAGCCCCTTTTATTGTCAGCTGGGGTTAGGGCTGTTTTCTCCCAGCATTAAGAATTTCTTTCTTTTCCTTTTCTTTCTTCTCTTGCTCATATAACTCAAGTAGCTGAACAGATTTTCTTCAAAGGCTGCAGAACAACCAGGGTCTAGTGGAAACAAATAAAGTTGTGGGGCTTGCCCAGAATGGAGCCTGGGAAATTAAAAAAAAATTATTGTAAACTGGGGTCTAGGAGGCTGCCTGTGCTAAGGTACACTCAGAGTGAAGCTGGTGGAAGTGCTCAGAGATGATGGGGGAGTGATGTCTCTGCTCCCAGTGATATCCCAAGAGGGGATGTGGGGGTAGATGTGGCACACTGGGCATGGGGACCATGACCTTCCTCTCCAGTTCTGCCCCACTAGGAGCCAGGGCTGTGCCAGGGTGGGCAGCCTCTGGCTGGAGGTACCAAACCTGGTGATGACAAGGTTATCACCTCGTGATAATTAACCCCTGGAGCTCAGAGACTAACCTGGTCTCGTTAATTAACACATCCATGTAAAGCCCCATCAGAAAGGCTGTTGCAGTGGTTGCAACTTCAGGCACTAAAATATTTGGCGTTTTGGGTTGCAAAACATGGCAAGGTGGGATTTCCACCCAGTCTTTGCTGACCTGATGTCCACACCTTGGGCACAGCTCCCTTCTCTGCAGAGTCTCTTCATCTCTGGCTAGGATGGAAATCGAATGGTTCCATCCCTTCTGCTCCTTGGAAAGCCTTGGCAGCTCCTCAGGGCACCCATGTCATACCCCAGCAGCCCTTGTCTGTCTTGGAATGGGAGATACTTCTTTGGGCTTGTGCTTGGGATTAGGACACCTCCATGGGGCTTGTGCTCCAACCTGGATGTTTCAACACCTCACGGCTTTTCTGGGAGGAAAAAAAACCAAACACAAGAAAAGGCAGATGATGTCCCCACCAAGTCACATGGCTGCAGGGATGGAGGCATCCAGAGAACCTCTGGATACCAGAAGACCCAAGCTCAGGTCACAGGTTTTGGCAGCAGCTGTTATTTAACAGTGGTTTCCAGCAGCTCTTGATTCCCAAAGGGCAACTACTGATGGTTGGCAGCTTCTGTTTGGAAGAGAGGGAACTGATGTGGGAATATCTCCTCTGTAAAATTACTGTGCCCCTGAAGGCTCTCTCTACATATAAACTTGGCAGCCCAACCTTGGCTGAGGGGACTGGAGCGTTTTGACAGCACTGAGCACCCTGAGACAGGGCCCATGTGGCTCTTAGGGATCCAGAGGACACCTGACAAAGTCAGTGGCACTTTGGCCTTGGTGGATCAGGTAGCTGGAAGCAGCCAGAGCAGAGGTGGTGGATGTCTCTGTGCCCTTGCAGGTGTCCTCATGAGCTCAGCTCTGCAGATGACAGCGTTGGGGCTCACTCTTCTCTCAACACTCTTCCTGCTCCTGGCCACGTGCACGGACTGCTGGATGGTCAATGCTGATGACAGCTTGGAGGTGAGCAGAGAAACCACCTTCAAAGGTGAGCAGAGCAACCATCATCCTCAAGGTGAGAAGAGCAGCCACCTTCAAAGGTGAGCAGAGCAACCATCATCCTCAAGGTGAGCAGCTGAGAGCTCTCCATGAGGTTGCACCGTGTCTCCACAGGCTTGGAAAGGGACACGGTGGAACAAACCCACCACTTTCTGCTTGAGTTGAAGGGTTAGAGGATTAGAGAGATAGAGAGATGCTGGAGAAGGAGGAGGAGGAGGCAGAGAGCAGGTATGGGTAGGGAGTCACTGGGATGTGTCCAGGTGTGGTGGTAGGAACCTGAAATCTGCCCTGCTGGGCTGGGAGATCCCTGGGGAGCTGGGAGGGCTTTTTGGTGCTTTTTGGTGTCTTTCTCCTGCTTCCAGGTAAGTCACAAATGCCGAGGCCTTTGGAGGGAGTGTGTCACCAACATGCAGGATGGGGTTAGGACCTGTGACCAGTATGACTCCATCCTGGCTGACCACCCAGGTAAGCTGGCCTGGCCTGGGGGCATTGTTCAGTTCACAGCTCAGTCTTCTTGAAAGGGAAGAGGGAAAGGGATCCTTGTTGCACTGGGCTGCCCTTCATCACTCAGCAATGCCAGCCCAAGGTTACTCTTGGTCTCCTGCCCCGAGCCTGGCCTGGGCAGCAACTTAGGGTTCAGCCAGACCTACCATGGGGTCACCAGCAGCAGAGACAGTGAAGCTGTGTCACCTGACAACAGAGGTGTTTTGGCACGTGGAGCCCAGCTCTTGCTCCTATTGCACACTGGGATTTGCAACCCACCATGCTGCAGGCAGGGCAAGGACCGTTCCCAATGGCCAAGGACTTGTGCCAGCAGCTCAGGGACAGTCATATCGGGGTAGGGACAATTCTCCTGGCCTGCACGGGGCACATCAAGCCCTGCACAGAGAACCCTTGTGTCACAACACATGGGACAGGTCATGACATGGGACAACCCGGATTCAGGCAGTAGAGAAGGAAAGAAGAAGCCAATATGGACTAAGGGAGGCTGCCACTCTGCTCTGGGGAGGAAGGAGCTTTTCAGGGCTCAGTCCCATCACAGCTGATGATGTGACCTGTGCCAGGTTTTCATCAGTACATTGACATTTGCTGTTCCAAACACCAGCTACACAACCTGGGGGGAAGAAACAGTCTGGACAGCAGTGTCTTCTGCCCAAGAAGGTCTTGAGCAGATGACCACATCCTGGGTGCTGATGGGTGCACCTTAAGTTATTTGGTTTCTTGAGCTGTTCTAATTAAGCCCTCATTAAGTTTCTGATGAGCCTGCTGAGCACCTTCCCCTGGCCCATGGCAGCAATGGAGTTGGTGGGTCCCAGTGCCATGGTGCCACTGTGAGCTGGGTGGCTCTTGTAGGGACACAGGCAGCAATCTGGGGTGGAGAGACCTGTTCCTCTGACCGTCCTTCATTCCCCTTTCTGGTTGTTTTTTCCTTCCCTGCCCAGTGAAGATCGTGGTGACACGGACCCTGATGATCACAGCAGACCTCCTGGCTGGCCTGGCTTTGGCTACACTGCTCCTTGGGCTCGATTGCATCAAGTTCCTCAAGGAAGACCCTTGTGTCAAACTGAGGATGTGCTATGGGGCCGGAGTCATACTCGGCATTGGGAGTGCGTGGCTGGGAGTGCTCAGGGGCAGACAGGTCTCGTGTCCCACAGGGAGCTGGGAGGGGTGCCAGGAGAGCAGCACCCCCTCAGCAGGGCCTTGGGGAGCTCGGGGAGGGTTGTGTGGTTCTTCCTAACCAGCCCCATTCCTCCCAGGCATCCTGGGGCTCGTGGGCTCTGTGTGGTACGCGGTGGACGTGTACGTGGAGAGGGCCACGCTGGTGTCACACAACATATTCCTGGGAGTCCACTACGACTTCGGGTGGTCCTGCTGGCTGGGGATGGCTGGCTCCACTGGCTGCTTTGTGGCATCTGTCCTGCTGACCTGCTGCCTCTATGCCTGCACAGGTCAGTCTGCCCTGTCCCACCCCATCCCATCTCAAGCAGCTTTGTGCCCTGCAGGGATGTGGAGTGAAGGATCAGCTCAGGGGGGGCAGGTTCTTGGAGGGTCCAGTCCAACCAAGGGGGAACTCCTTTGTGCCCGGCCTGTGTCCCTTGGCTGGGGAGGGTACACCAGGCAGGACGGGGCTGAGTGAGGGCCTCATAAGGTCATGGAGGGGGTGCAGGGGTCCATCCACATCCGTGGCACCTCCAGGTCCTGGTGAAAGCATGCTGATGTTTACCCAAAGCAGTGGCCATGCTGGAGCTGAATCCCTGTGACCAGCCAGAGCCTGAGCCATCAGCTCCACCAGCAGGGACGTTGGGCAGGTGATGCCTCCCCAGATGTCATCTCCAGTCCTTACCCCTGGTCCCACAGGGTGGAACTGACCCCGCTGGCTGTCCAGGTTCACTTCTCCTGCCACGTCTCCACGCTGTGGCAGCCTCAAGTCCTCCTGTGACTGCCAGCCATGACACAACCCCAACTCTTTCCTGGCAGCCCCCAGCAGCCACTGGCAACCCCAGATGCGTTCCCAGCCCTGGGGTCGAACAGCCACCAGCAAGATGTATGCCATGGACTCCCGTGTGTGATGGCCAGCAGCACCTCCTGCACCCGCTGGGGGATGCTCTCCTCGCCAGTATGACCCCATTAAAGTACCAACACCTGTACTGGGACCTTTCTGCAGCTGCTTCCAGCCTCTGGCTGCAGCCAGCTGCAGCATCAGGGGCTGCTAAAAGCAAGGGTGCTGCAGCATTCACCCAGAGAAGGGTTTTTTTCCCCACTTCCAGCCAGGTTTCATGAAAATAAATCCCAGAAAAGTGTTGCTTTAAGAAAAGATGCCCCCAAGTCCCCTGGGAAGGCTGTTGGGACACTGAGGGCAGAGGAGCTCCTCTGATGTTTCTCAGCCCAGGCTTTGGAGGAATTCAGTGGGAAGCCTTTCTGCACAGAGTAACACTGACTCCACGTGGCTGGTGGCCCCGGTCCCTCCCACATCAGCCCCGCTGGAAACTGCCCCTGCACTCTGGCCTGGGGCAGCACGATGTTTGCACTCCAAAACTGGGCAAACCCAGGAGCCTGGAGCACTCAGTTATCAATCTTTTCATGGGGGATCATTGGGGAACAGCCAAACTCATCGGGCACAAGGAGGTGAGTCAGTCTGAGGTCTGAGGGAGGTGCTCTACCTGCAGAGTGGGGTTTTAAAGTCCACACAAAATGGGAATTCATTTTCCAAGTGAATTATTATCCTTCTTCGCTTGCAAACCATTATGAAAACAAACCAGAATCCAAACCCAATAACAACTCAATCCTCACCAGCCCTAGTCACTGAATCCTGGTTTTGTGCTCATTTCCTTCCTTCTCACCCTAAGCTCAGCACACAAAAACCTCCACAGCACAGGGAAGCTGGGCAGAAGCTCCCTGGCACAGGCTCTGTCACCCTGAGAGGCAGCAGGTCAAAGCCTGAGCAGATGGTGCTGCAGGGGCACACTCAGCCCCCAAAACAGACAAGTGTGAAGGGACTTGCAGCTGCACTCCTGCAGCCCAGCCCAGCCCAGCCCCGCTGCAAAGCACTCTGCACCCCAACCCAGAGGAGCTGCAAAGGTCTCCTGAGCCATCTGCCCCCTCACGTGAAGCTGAAAGGCAGCGAAGCTGTTGTTTATTGCAGCTCCTGCCAACAGCTCATCCAGGGTGAGTCTGTCGGTGTCAGCAACACCCCAGGGACCTGGGAGAGGAGGAAATCCAAAAGCTAAAGCTGAGTGACAGGAATAAGCAGCAGGAATGACAGTTTGCTGTCAAACAGCAGTGCCTAGAGGGCAGGATGCTCACAGCTGGCACAGCTGGGGGACGGGCAAGGGGGAGTGTTAGAAGGTGCTTGGAAAGAGCGAAGCCTGGAGCACAGGGCTGGTGGGGCACTGGAGCCCACAGGAAAATGATTAAGAATAGAATTAGTGTGTAGAAACATCCCAAAAGCTGCCCTTGGACAGCCACCTCTGTGCTCCTGTCCCCCTGGGGGACATTTGGGGGACATTGCTACTGCTACAGCCAACCCAGGCCCCCTGGTTTCACCCCCAGTTCCCCTCCCTGCACACCTGCAGCAAGACACCAGCAACCTCTGCAGCAGCTGCTGTGATAACAGATCCGTGTCCCAAAAGATCAAGAGCAGCACAATGACAGGTTTGGGATTATTTGGAATCTAGAACCAGGCCCAGGTTGCCCAGGGAAGCTGTGGCTGCCCCATCCCTGGAAGTGTCCAAGGCCAGGTTGGACAGGGCTTGGAGCAACCTGGGATGGTGGAAGGTGTCCCTGCCCATAGCAGGGGCTGGGACTGGATGGGCTTTTAAGGTCCCTCCCACCCAAACCCATCTGAGATTCTATCATTTTGGGGTATTTCTTTCCTTTTTTTCTTTTTTAAGCACCCTCACACCACCTCAGTTCTGTGGCTGCTGTATTCCAGCAGGGGCACAGCTGAGCTGCCCCAGCAAACAGCTCTTGGAAACACACTGTGCTCACACCAGGCACTCCCCTCCCTCCGTGCCTGCCCATCCCATTCCAGTGGGACTCAATCCCTCCCTCCGTGCCTGCCCATCCCATTCCAGTGGGACTCAACCCCTCCCTCAGTGCCTGCCCATCCCAGTGGGACTCAGTTGCATCTTAATTGTTTTTTCACTTTAATTTCTGTGTTTTACCCCACCAATCCATATGCCCAAGGAATAAAGCAGTCATTTTTCCCCCCCCAAACCTTCTATGAACACTTAAGACCCTTTCAGACAGAAGAGGGTTTTAAACACCCAAGCACACACAGTAACTCTTTAAGACCTTTATTAACAGATGCTTGCAGTTTGACTTGAAAAAATCAGGCGTATATTTCATACAAATTAAAAATGAGGTTCTTAAAAATCTCAACTTGACCAGATATGAAACAATTTACAAACTTTTTAAAGGTATATTGAGAAAAAACAGGCTTTTAAAAAACGTGTTTATCATTTCCAAAAAGAGAATTCTTTAGGTAAAAATAATAAAAACCCCATGCTGCATAGATAATGCAGATAGTTCTAGTAATCTGGTCAACAGCAAAAAGCAAGCACTTAAGGTCTTCAGTTCCAATTCATTTGTTCATTTCTTATTGCTGGAATTTCATTTTCTTCTTCATTTCTTAAAGTCTTTTCTTTGATGACTAAACTGAAAAAGAAAAAAAAAAAAAGGCTGATCAGACAGGTGACAGAGGGTTACAGAGGTGCTCTTAGTGCCAAGACTCACCTGCAATTTAAAAACTCTCCCTGAGCTGCCTGTCACATGTTCACAGGACAACCCTTGCCAGCTATTGATGCTTGTCAACCCCAACTCCAGCAACCACACCAACCACAGGAGCAACACCAGATTCCAGAGGGGACCCCAGAGAGAGCAGTCAGTCAGTTTAAATCCAAAGAGATTCTACCTGCATCTCTCCCTTCCTGCCATGGGGACGGCTGTTCCCACCTGCTCTGCCAAGGAACACAGCTGAGTCACTGCCCAGAGCACAGAAATCACAAACAATAGGAGCCAAAGTGCCACAGTGGTGTCCCCTTGAAGGCCATGATCTAAGAGTTCATCTAGGAGGTGCTGACCATCAAGATGAACACCAGAACTGTCCCTCAGAAATCAGCACCAAACAAGCACCAATTGCAGCCAGGCTCCCCTGCAACAAACCCAACTTCTGGGCCCTGCCCTGCACGCAGCCCTCCCAGGCACCTCAGCACTGCAACCATGGCTGCTGCAGGCTCTGACAAAAGGACCACTTTTTTCCAGCAGTTTGATTAGATAAAAAGATGCTCCCAAGACAATCCTGCTAATTCTGCATCAACTTTGTAGAAATGGATGCTGAGGTCTCATTGCCATCCACACCCCTGTGTGAATGAGCTCAGACACTGATGGAGCTCAGTAAACCCCAGCACGTGGTTCTCCTGGCTACAGGAGTCACTACACCTGCACTGTTTGAATTTCTGGGTGGACAGACACTGCTGTAAGCCCCAACTACTGAATGCAGCCAAGGTTTTAAGTGTAACTCCATCAACGACAATTAAAGCCTGTCACTAAGTCCTCCCAATTAACCAGCACTGGCACAGCAAAGCCTCACAGTTCGGTTCTGTGGGCTCACAGCTCAGTTACAGCACACGTGAGCAAGAAGAATCCAAACCTTGTAAGGCACAAACTAAAAAAAAAACCAAACCCCTCAAAAGAAAGTCAGCAAACGGCCCCTGCAGGCCCCCAGCCACGCACCCGGATGATGGTAGAGATGTTAAGCCGGTGTTTACTCAGCCCCGCCCTGCTCGGCCTCGGGAGCGGACGTGTTCTCAGCTGGTGGTTCGGCTGTCTTCGTCTCTTTGCCATCTTGTGGTTTAGGGTTCTCTGGGCGTCTGCGTCGGTAGTTGAAGTTACGGCGGTACCGACGTTGAGGTGGTTGCTGACTTTGGGTCTCGTCCCCTTGGTTCTCTTTATCTTCTTCATTCCCATCCTCTCTAGGTTGTCTTTGACGAGGAGGACCCCTGAAAGTCAAGCTAGGCTTTAACCATGCAGCATCTGAGCATCGCCATGTCCTGGCTCTGTTGCTGAAAGACGAGTGTAAGACCAGAAGCTCATCTCCAGTATACCTGCGAAATCGTGGTCTGTAACCCCGGTACATGTTCTGCCTGACTGGTCTGCCGTCTCCTGCACCCTGGTTGTCAGCACCCTGCAAGACATCAGGCCACACACCTCCTCAGCCCCAAGCAGAAGTGTGTTAACAACACAGCTCATCGTGCCACAAGGAAGGAGCTGAAAAGGTGTCACGTTCAGTCAAGGTGGGCAACAGCTCTAGGGCTCAGGTGTGTGCACACGATGGAGAATCTTTCGCTTAATCACATAAATTCAAACACACTGGTTTTTAAAAGCTATAAGACCTTTAGCTACAGCATTTCATCTTACCGCCAAATCCTAGCAAAACCATCTGGAGTGCCAAAAGAGAAGCGCCAAAAGCCACGTCCCATCACCCTGCTCCACCAAGACTATTCAGCACCACGCCTTAGGCAAACATTACCTCCACCATCTCTCCCTGTACGGGAGGGTTGGAATATTGTGGACGACGCCCGTAGGGCCTACGCATGTAGTAAGGTGGGTACCGCCGCCTGCGATAGGGACGGCGCTGCTGGGCTTGACCTTCTGGGATGTTCTCTGCTCCTTCGTTCTTCTCCCCACTCTCACTGTTCTGGTAGTTTTGCTGGTAGTTGCGTGGAGGGCCCCTACGACGTGGATATCGTCTGTAATGGTTACGGTCTGCTGCGTATTTACTGCCCTGCACTGGAACTCCTCCAGGTCCTGTAACATTGGCTGCCTCCGCGCCCTAAAGAGCGGGGACAGCGTTAGGGAGACAGTCAGCAGCCCACCAGCTACAGCACAACACAGTCAAGCACTGAGCAACGATTTACAGCCACATTGTGAAGCAATGAA